GTAGAAAGTATAGGCAGGGCTACCAGATTAGGAGAAGTCTAGGGGGAAGAAGTGCTGGGAGTCTCTGGGACCCCCTGGGTCAAAGTCTGAGAGGGTAGAATGCCCTGTTGGCCACCTCTGCAGCATCCCTGAAACTTGGAGATAGTCAGGCACAATAGGTCAATGTAAGGTCTTATTTATTGTTTAAAAGTGAGCCTTTTTAAGGTAAAAACCACAGTGCAGGAAAAGCATTACCCAATAATTTTAAAGGTATTTCTGTGATGTATCTAGTGACCTATCCTATTATTCTGAATAACTAATATGTAGCCAGTAATGGCCAGGATATCTTTAATAAGTAAATGCCAACCAACTGGAAACCAGAGCAAGCTGAAGCAGCAGACAAAAGAGAGCCACCATGTGCCTTGGCTATCCCTTTAAACCTTTACTATGTCACCTTGACATCACCTTGACCACACCCTGATGGGCATGGTCCCACACACCTGTATCCAGCCCTTTAGAGGTTACATGGTGTCTCCCTACAATTCCACTTTTAGTCTAAAAGAAGAATAAAACTCAACAGTGTAAAGTATCCAAAATTAACAATCATAAAGGTGAAATACAAGAAGATACAATAATCTTCTATTGCACATCCTAACCATGTCTATTTCAGCTAAACCCTAAAGTCATCTGAAAGAAGTGTCCAAGCCTGAACACCTCCTTACAATCCCAACCCTAAACAATAGGAAAGTATCCTTAACTAGGTCTACATTATCCTTAGTGACAACAATGGGGGGAAAGGTGGTGTAGCATTCTCCAAGTTACTTCCTGCTGAAATGAGATGAAAATAGCCTTGTGTGGTCCTGTAGGAAGAAAATAGTATAGTGAAATTCTCTAATGGATTATATCCAGTCCATGTTAGATGGGATTTGCTTGATTGAAGATCTAGGTTGAAATCTTCAACTTGATTGAAGTCAGTACCTGAAGCTCTGGTGGGAGTGTCAGTTACAACGGAGTAAGTTGGATCCAGTGCAGTCGAGGAGGTATGGCCCAATTTCTTATCTGGAGCGTCCAGGGATTGCTGTCAGATGGGTCTTCATTGGCTGTGTGGTACTCAAACATAAGTGTTAGTAGAGAAGTGTTTGCTTGTATATGTATGCATGTGGGAAAAGGCTATCATGGAAAAATAATGATTGTGAGATGGTGTACACCTTGAAGGAAAGAGCCAAGAAAGACAAAGACAGGCACCAACTTCTTCTCTCATTCTGTGTTACATCAATTTGTTTCTTGATACAATACAGAAACTCTAAAGTTTACTTAAACAATGTTCTTGGATTTTAGGGGAGGAAAGCCAAATCCAACTCTAAATTCAGCATTGATTTACTTGAATGGGGACTAGAAAAATAGAGAGAGTTATTTGAGAGACAGCTGTAAAGTTTACCGTATGGCACTTTCTTTTTGTTTGATGGTTATAGCTACCTTCTCTTCTTAAACATCTACCCATGTAGTGTTCTTGGATTTCTGGAAATGAGTTTTCCTGTGAAGATAGAAGCAAAACACTTCCCTTTCCTTTGGGAGGTTTCTATTTAGTTTATGAGATATACCTCAGTAAAATGCCTGTCCCTCGTCCTTGACGAGAGGTTTGTCTTTTACAACAAATCTTGATCAATTTTGATGGTATCCAAATTTTTCTTCTCCTGTGGAAACAAATGCAAAACCTCTACCCCAATGTAACACATGTCCAGGCTTCCATACCGAGGTTAGAACATCTTTGAAGCATACTGGTTGATTCAGGTCAGCAGTTTTCTCCATAGTCCAGTGTCTATCTGCAGATGTTTGTCATTTGTCATTGGCATTAAGAAAGTTTAGTATCAAAAAAGCATCATGCAATCTATGTTTGGGGGGGTTGACTTATCAGCCTGTCTATGGAGCATCTGTTTAAGTGTCCTATTAGATCTTTCAACCACTGCTTGTCCTGTAGGATTGTGTGGTATACCAGTGACAAGCTTTATGTTATAATATTTGAAAAACTGTTCCATTTTTTGAGACATATGCCTGAGCACTGTCAATTTGTATTTGTGCAGGTATACCATAACTGCCATCACCTCTAACAGGTATGTAATAACAGAATCAGCTTTTTCAGAGTTGGGAGCAGTAGCTCATTGGAACCCTTAGAATGTGTCAATAGTATGATGCACATATTTCAAATTTCTAAATTCTGTATAGTGAAAGACATCCATCTTCCAGATCTCATTCTTCTAAATGCCTTTAGGATTACAGCCTGCTGGCAGTGGAGTTTGGTTATAAAAAGAACATGATTTTTCTTATGAAATTCTGAGGCTCCTAGCACACTTCCAATTAATAAATGATCAATCTCATCATTGTCTTGTGCTAGTGGACCTGGTAGACCCATATGGGATCTGATATGTCTAATGTATAGAAGATCGCTTCTTTTTCTGATTGTTTCCTGTAATTGTAAAAACAACACGGTTAATTCCGTATCATCAGGAGTGAATTCTGCAGTCTCAATGGGTAAAGATGACTCTCTCTGCATATTGGGAATCAGTAACTAAGTTAAGAGGTTCTGCAATTGTGATGACATCATCCTGTGCCAGTTTGGGCAGCCAATTGTTTTTCTTAGTAAACACTTGAAGCCTCACCTCAGCACCATCTTATAATGGCACTGGTTGGTTGTCAGCTTTGAGCCACTCTCCTTCCTTCCGGGACATGATCTGTGCTCCTCCACAAAGTAGCAGAGAGAGGCCACTTGAGAGATGCCAAGTAGCCACTAAGAAGATAGCATGCCATGCATTCTCTAGTAAGACAAAGCCATGTAGAAATACAAACATCAATAGTTATGGGTTAGTATTAAGAGAGAGCTAGCCAGTAGGAAGCCTAAGTCACTGGTCAAACAGTTTATAATTAATATAAGCATCTGTGTGTTTATTTGGGGCTAAATAAATAACTGTGGGCCCACATGGAACAGAACCTCTGTCTACATATTATACTCAAGGTCATATGTTATTTTTCTTAATTTTATGAATGTTAAAGATTTTATTGTTAAGAAACAGGGTCCCATTTACTAAGCTATCCTTAAACTTATGTAGCAGACATGAGGTTCTCCTGCCTCCACATATGCAAGTGAGGATCAAATCCAGGGCCTCATGCATTATAGACAAATACTTTTACCAATGGATTTCCATCCACAGCCCCTCTATTTGTGGCAGAAGGATTATTTTCCTATGTAATACCTTATCTATCTATGATGAGAGAAGATACATTGTATAAGAGTTGGCCAATAAGTCAAAATTTGGGGGGGAGGTTGGGGCACTAAGGTCTATAAAGCATAGGGTGAGAAACTTAAAAATGAAAGCCAAGACCCTCTTCAACACACACACACACACACACACACACACACACACACACCACTACATTCCATATAGTTCAAAGTAAAAAGCCCAATCATATTAGTTGAAGGTACCAGAGGGTAAGGGACTAAGTCTCCCAGAAATCTTAAGGCGTCTACATTCTAAGCCATCAAATCTGGGTTTCATCTCAAGGGCAATATGGACTACCTGGTCATATGTTAGGACTCATTCTTTAACAAAGAATCTCTAGTAAATGTGCAGAGATAAGATTGAGGGGAATCAATATTTGAGTAATCAATAGTTATCTGACAGATGGGAGCTGTTTCATTTATGTCTTTGTTTGAGAATTCTACTAAACTTAAAAGGATAAAGAGCACCAATCCTGGAAAGGATCCAATTGTCAAATTGTCCATTTAAGGATGGATGGACAAATGCATCGTGGCACATTCAGGCATTGTTCACTCTTGAAATGGGAAAATTGGGGCTGAGGAGATGCTCAGCTCTTAATAAGTGTTCTGGCTCTTCCAGAGGATCCAAGTCCTAGTCTCAGTACCCATGTTGCACAGCTATGAACTTCCCCACACCCCAGATCTCCAGGAGCTGACATCCTTCTCTGGAGCCTCCACTGGACTTTGTAGCAAGGTGTGATGTGCATATGTTCAGGCAGACACACACACACACAGACACATAAACATACATCAATAACAACTAAAATAAATGTTTAAAAAACAGTGATATCTACCACAATATTAGACATTATGCTCAGTGAAATAATTTGAAGAAGAGTCAAGTATTGTCTACTCCCAATTGTATCGGATATTCTTATATTGAGTAGTCCAGTCCTTAGAGATGGCAAGCTGAATTGGATGGTCAGGGAAGGCGTGTTGGTATAGAGGCAATGAAAAGTTACTATTTAATAAAGTCTCATTTTTATGAGGTGAGAATAAGAATCATTGTGGCAATAGACAGTGGTGATGTTTTTATATATTTTATAACAGTGAAGCATATACTTAAACAGGAAATGGAGTGATGTCTAAGTAGTTATGAACACTTGCTGCTCCATCCAATTACATGTTTGGTTCCCAGCAGCCATGTTAGGTGCTTACAAATATCTGTAACCCTACCCAAGGTTTTTAATTTCTTTTTCCGACCTTCAAAAGGCACCTGTATATATGTGGGGCATATACTCTTTAAAGCAGCTGAGATGTTAAATTTTATAGTTATTATTATAGTTGTTAAAGATGTTGAAATTTTTTCATAGTTATAAAATGTAAGGAACATTGAATTGGAATCAAGCAGATTCATTAGTTTCAGCACAGTCCCTACCAACTTTGTAGCCCCTAGAAAATCTCTCATACGTCTATGACCTTAGTTCTTCCATATGAAAAATGAAACAGAGAAATCTGTTTAAGTTGTGTGAAGAACTAAAGCATGTCTTCTGTGTACAATACCCAGTAGAGCCTTTAACTTACCTACATCATAAAAAGCAAAGGGACTATGGTTGTTTAAAAGAAAATTGCGGGCTTTGCACTAGGCTGAGACAGGAGGGTCCTCAGCTAAAGCCCAAGGCAGATCAAAGTGGTAGTACTCGTGTCGTGGCCATGGAGAGTAGAAGGAGCACTCCGGATCCCGCTCAGGGCTCGCCCTCGGTTCGCCATGGAGAAGACTGAGCTGATCCAGAAGGCCAAGCTGGCGGAGCAGGCTGAGTGCTACGACGACATGGCCACTTGCATGAAAGCCATGACAGAGCAGGGCGCCAAGCTGTCCAACGAGGAGCGCAACCTGCTGTCGGTGGCATACAAGAACGTGGTCGGGGGCCGCAGGTCTGCCTGGAGGGTCATCTCGGGCATCGAGCAGATGACCGACACCTCCTACAAGAAGTTGCAGCTGATCAAGGACTGTCGGGAGAAAGTAGTGTCGGAGCTGGGGTCCATCTGTACCATGGTCCTGGAATTGTTGGATAAGTATTTTATAGCCAATGCAACTAATCCAGAGAGTAAGGTCTTTTCTCTGAAGATGAAGGGAGATTATTTCCGGTATCTTGTTGAAGTAGCATGTGGCGATGATCGAAAACAAACGATAGACAATTCCCAAGGAGCCTACCAAGAGGCATTTGATATAAGCAAGAAAGAGATGCAACCTTCCCATCCAATCTGCCTGGGGCTGGTTCTTAACTTTTCTGTATTTTACTTTGAGATCCTTAATAATCCTGTGCTTGCCTGCACACTGGCCAAAACGGCTTTTGATCAGGCCATCACAGAGCTTGAATCACTGAGTGAAGATCCCTATAAAGAAAGCACCCTCATCATGCAGTTGCTTAGAGACAAGTTAACATTATGGACATCAGAAAGTGCAGGAGAAGAATGTGATGCAGCGGAGGGGGCCGAAACCTAAGGGTGTCCAGGTTGCTATCCTCCATCTCCTCAAGAAAACCTTTTTACATCTCCATTCCTTCTTCCACTTGGATTTCCTCTAGCAAGGAAGCCCATTCATGTGTATGGGATTAACTGTTTATAGTCTTTTCACACTGCAGCTTTGGGAAACTTCATCCCTTGATTTGTGTTGTCTCGGCCTTCCTGTTTTTCAGTTACTGCTGTAGAAAAGTATCAATAGCTTCATTTAAAATAAACATGAGTAACTTCCAGTCAGTTGTGTAGAGCACTGACAGTGCATTTGGTATTTAAGTAATCCGAACCAGTTCTTTACGTAGCTGTGTTTTGTATTACTGTGAAGATATGGAAATGTAGTAATTATAATTTAAAATAATTGTAATAATAACTTTTTGATTTCTACATTCCCTCTCTGACCCTCCTATGGGGGTTTCCTTTCAGAAGCAACTTTTCTGTGCTCTCACTGCATATTCCTTTTTAGTAGGAATCCAGAAGTGTTAGATTAAATGGGAAAGCTCTTACTGCATCCAGTCTTGGCGTCACAGATCAAAATGTCTCCTATGTCACATATTCTGGAGGTTACATCTGTCTGTGACAACAGGGAATTTCCTTTATGCATTCTTCATTTATTTGCTGCTGCTTGAATTGACAACTTCCTTCCCAATAAAAATTCACTTACACCTCCTGCCTTTGTAGCTCTGGTATTCACTTTACCTTGTAATAGAAGTAGCATGTTGTACTACATGCTGTACATATGCCCTATGTAACAGCAGAGTAACAGAAAATAAAACTACATTTTATAAAACATTTAAAAGAAAATGGCCATCATAGGGTCACAGGGTGTGGCCCTACTAGGATATGTGGCCTTGCTGGATTACATGTGGCTTTGTTGGAGGACGTGAGTTTCAGTGGTACTTCCTGCAGGACCAGACATATAACTCTTAGCTACCTCTCTAACACCCTGTCTTCCTGCATTGCACCATGCTTCTTGCCAAGATAAAAACAGACTAAACTTCTGAACTTTAAGCCATCGCCAATTAAATGTTTTCCTTTATAAAAGTTTCTGTAGTCATGGCATCTCTTCACAGCAATAGAAACCCAAACTAAGACAAGGACCATCTGTATTAAAAGCCAAGAGACAGTTGGTGAGATGGATTAACAGATAGAGTCACTTACTACCAAAACTAATGACTTAAGTTTGGTTCCCAATACCCACATGATGAAAGTGGGTAACTGACTTCCTTGTATTATCCTTTGACCTCTGACCCAGGTGTGTGTGTTTATACATAAATACATCAAATAAGTAAATAAATAAAATGTATTAGTGACAGCCAAAATATTTTATCTCTCTAATCAAAGTATGGAATGACTCAAGTGGATGCTAGTGATGATTGCATAAACTGTACAAGATAGGATGAAAGATGCCTAAGTTATGAATGACAAGACAGATTATTTTAAATTGTGTCTCATCCCAAACCACAGGTTTATTATATTGCCTTCAATGACAAGCTTATCCTTTTATAAATATAATGTGGTTACTGTTATTCTTTTGTTTAAAAAGAAGAAAAGAGAAATGCTGAGACATGAGACATAAGACTATAAGTTTATTATAAAGCCCGGCAGAATGGGGAGACTAAGAAGAGGAACAGGGTAAATGGCTGACCACCACCGCTGGTCGCCATAGAGAGACAGAGCGAGAGCATAGGTGGGAGACAGAGTAGAGCGGGGGAACAGAGAGCACAGAGAGCGGGAACAGAGAGAACAGAGAGCATAAAGGGGCAGGGACTTATCTTTTAAAGGGGTCCTCTGCATCTGCGTGCAGACTTAGTTCCCATGGAACCTTGGGCTGACCAGGGTACTGCCTGTTCCACCAGGTAACAGGGGCAGGCCTGAACCTTTCAGTTACAGTCTAGGAATCTGAGTCTTTTTCTCTGCTGATAAGATGAGTAAAAGACAGGAAAAGTTCAAGGCAAACAAAAAATAAGGTTTATTGGCAAACTACATAGACTATCTAGATATAGATGGGCACAAGAGTGGGGAGCCTACTGACATCAAAGGAAATTCAGATTTGTCTTGGTTTCAGATACTCCCCCCAGTTACTCCTTTCCTTCTCTCTATTGATCCTAAAGTATTTATGTACACTTTTCAACAAGGGGAGTAGGTCTCCCACATCTACCACATGTGCCTGATATGGTTCTCTTTCTTTGTATACAAGCATGGACACAGACACAATAGGGCACTCTATCTTAAGGCATGGGTACAGAAATGCCTGCTAGTTGGTTGTGGATAGGGTGGGCTCCCATACCTATTTTTTCTGTGGTTTAATGGGGAAATAAAAACTTAGTATAAGCAAAAGAGCCATGGCCTGTTTTATTTCTTCCCTATCTTGATTCCCAGATCCCAGAATAGCAACCTTCCCACATAGTGATCTCTTAGCTACAAGCAGAACCTTTTCTTGAGGGACAGAGGTAAGAAAGCAGCTGCAATTCAGAATGTGCTCACTCTGTGTCTGAGTGACATATTCATTCTATATGCTATTTCAACCTTGTGACAAGTTTTTAATATGTTACTCATTGCACTTGCAAAAAATCCCAGAAGAATTTAATGAGTTCTTATCAGGGTAACTAAGTAATAGACAGTGGATCAAAGTTTGAGTGGGACTTGATATGAATCTAAACACACTATGGAAAATAAACTACAAAAATATCAGCTACAACAATATAAAATAAAAAAAGAAAAAGGTTCCTAAATTTTTTCCTGTTGGAGTCTGATAACAAAGACCTAGCATCAAATCCATGAATCTGAGTTTACTGTAATATGTTTTATTACCATTTGACTTTAACAGATTTTTAAGAAGTAACTTACTGTTATGAATTGAAAAATGAGCAAATTAAAGTAATTGAATATTATATTCCCGAGGCTTTTATGCTACTCTTACCTAATATCTGAATCAAGCAATTTTAAAACAAAAGATGTTTTTACTATTTTACAGAAGTCAGCCCATCAATATTGGATAGGTGTAGTCTTGGGAGCCATAAGTTAAGGAGTCATCCAGAGCATAGGAAAATTACAGGCTCTTGAAGGACTTGCCACCTGGCAACTGCCACCACTGGCTGTTCTATTCCGGGAAGAGATGCAGCTCTGAGAACAAGAAACATAGGATGTTCTCAGGCAACAGACATTCTTTAGATAGCCGCTTGCGAAAAACACCAGATGTACTGACTACAATGAGGCCCTCCCTGCTCCCTCCTCACCTCCTCCTCCATGTGGCCACATGCGGTCCTGCGGACTGTCCCCGGAGCCCCACCACCAGTGGCCGCTACATGCTTGCTCCCCTCTCCCTCACCCCTCCCTCCACACTCCCTCCTTGCCACACTCCTATATAAGCCTTATTGCTCTTTCAATAAAATGAAACCTTGACAAAACTTATGCTCGCTTGGTCTCCTTTCTTCCTCCTGCCCATGATTCTTTTCAGGCAGTACCTCTTCATACCCTGAATAACTGGACCTGCTGGACGGGTCAGTGTAGCAAAGCCAGGAAGAAGATTGATAGCATTTTGAGAGGAGGTGAGGCACAACCATCAAGCACCTGGCCCCAGTGACTTACTTCCCATCGCTTGGCCTCACTTCTATGCCTTTTACCCTCTTCAAGTAATGGCATCATAACCCCACAAGGGGTTAATCTGTATTGGGGATTTAACTTAGTGCTAACATACATACATAATGTGTACAGGGCCTTGGTTTAATCACTAACATCACAAAAACAATGTGGCAGTAGCTAGCTAGCTAGAGATTAATTTATTGCTGTTTAGTGTGGTACAGAGAATGATCTATGACAGCCAAAATTTTAGTTTTTAATGAGTGAGTTTATGAAGCATGCAGCAAACCAAAGTGAAAGATTAATAACAAGTGATGTATAGATGATAGATAAAAAGACAGACATGGATGAATGGGTAGATAGCAAACAGCATCAAATATGGTGATCAAAATGCTCAGCAGGAATCAATGAGTAAACCCACAGTGCATATTAGCTGGAGTTTGACATAGAGGAACTTCACGACAGAGCAATGTCCTGTCCAATGAGGCTTCCAAGAAAAAGAACTTTTAACAACAGATGGAAGTGAATTCATAAAATCTGGTTTACATGACATCTAGAAGAAGCTGATTTTAAAACTCAGGCTATCAACTGGACTTTCCAATTTAGTCTTCTCCCTATGGTTAAGTTTCCCATGGCTGACCTCACACTTCATCTTTCTCTCTTTTTATCATGGAATATTTTAGCATCCGATAATAGAACTGTCTCACCTTCTGACTATTTTCAAGTACACAGTGGATTTACTTTCCTCAAGAAATTTTGTTATTTTCTTCCTTCTCTGACAGTGATGGGGCCAGTGGGCAGATGATCACCAGACAAGGGGCCTTAGAGGACATTTTGAGACAAACATGTTTGGATCTGAAATGGGGGACAGGTGGCAGTGCCACTTCAAAAGCCAACTTCTTGGTGAGCTCAAATGGCACAGGACAGGTTAACAGTGAAATGGATATTAAATTTGTGGTCTAATCCTCTCTGAAAATGTCAACACAGTCATAACCCGAGGCATGACCTCTAAATTTCCTAGGCGTTTCTCAATCCATTCAGGTGACAATATCCATTGCCACAAATAATGTTTTTACTTGAATGACATGAAGACTTCAAAAGAACTTCCTTTAAATTATTTGACTGACATTTCAAATAGTCATGCTTTCAAATGCTTTTCTTACCAGGTGTTATGTCAAATATTTTGCCCTTTGCTTTGGCTATTGGAAAGGTCAGGGCTGTACTTTGGATTCTGCATTGACTTACAAGTGGGAGAATTTTCTTTAATTCCATTCTAATATTTCATTTATCCGTGTCGTTGGTATTATACCAGCTTTCATTTATTCACATGTATGGATACCCACAACACATCTGCAAATTTTTATTAGTTATGTAAATGACTCTGTACTTTTGGAAAATTATCTTATT